TAAGGCCTCAGACTTCCAAGCACAAGGAGGAAAAGTCTTCTCACTGCCAGTATCTATTTCCTTAAATCCATGGTGCAATACCCCAACGAGAAGTTGAGGGGCAAAGTTGCTCTGAAGTCCCGCTACATGGGTGTACTCCCACCCTTTGGTGCAGGACACCTTCTGCCTGGGTACTTTTTCCGAAAGGTCCGAAGGATTTGGTGCGTACTTGAACAGCTCACAGTGGAGAAGTTGAGGGGCAATTACCCATAATGTCCTTTTTGTAATAGTCACCCCCCCCCTCTCTCTCTCTACCAGACAACGGTTCAGAGACTGTAAACCAAATAATACTGCTGTAGTTTCGAATGCGTGCTTAATAATGCTGAACAGTCACAGATGTAATGTGCACATGTGAAGTCTGATTATCAATATTTGTAGACTGGGATGGATCCTTGAATAGAACAAGCCCAGTACGGCAGGCTGAGGGGGAAGATAAACAAGTTCCTGCTGCTTATCATCACATGAAGCTGCACAACAAGACTCAAAGCATTTAAACCAATCATCTGAGTGGGAAACATGAGTCAAAGTTTGTAAGAAGGGAATCAATATTCAGCTAAAACGTCTCTCAGAAAGATAAAGTTAAAATGGATCTTAGATGCAAACACGGAAGTCCACAATCCAGTTAAAATGCAGACACATGAACTATCATTATGTTGGCTAAGAAGTAGTGCTGGTTGAGCTGTAAACTGCAGGCCCTGGGAAACAGAGTGGCAGACAGCAGACGAGTGAGAGTGAAAGCAGCTCTCAGTGAGTTTGAACTGTGTTCAACATGGGCAAATATTTGACTGCATGCTGTGAACAGTCATCTTCACGGTCACACATGCTTCAAGCAGAGATAAATGGCTTTTAATGAGCGGGAATTGGAACAAATCCAGTTCTGTACCACCATCCTGGAGCAAGGCCAACAAATTAAAATAGTTGTCAAAGTGACCAACCAAGGAAACATCTGTCTCTAAGGTTTTAGAAATAGTTCTGTAGAAAGTGACAGTTAATGTATACTCCTCCCTAAGTGGTAAGGTCAATCAAATTGTTTAAAACAGACAACCTGGGGATGAAAGCTTGTTTTGATGCAACGATGTAGCTCTCAGTCCTATTATAATTCAAAATGTTCGTAATCTGATTTTACTTTCTTCATTTCATACCGGCCGATTTTCAGAGGTCCAAACTTAAGTGAAACTCTCACACAGACTTGGATAATGACCTGCTGTCTCTTACCTCAGTGACAAAGTTGCTCTGAAGTCCCGCTACATGGGTGTACTCCCACCCTTTGGTGCAGGACACCTTCTGCCTGGGTACTTTTTCCGAAAGGTCCGAGGTGTTTGGTGGGTACTTGAACAGCTCACAGTGGCTGAGCCCGGTTCCGCTCACCCAGGGGATGGTGAGGTTGAGGTATCCCTGAGAGGTGAAGTTGCTGAGGAGGAAAGCTGAGGGAAGGAGGTGAGGGTCTGGTTTGCAGTGGTACGAGTCCGGGATCAGGGTGTAAAAAACGTCGCAAAAAAGGTTAAGCATGACAGCGAAGTTTGGGAACCAGCTGAAGACGACCACGATTCGGTTGTAGCGTCCATATCCGCCGGTGTGAGGGAAAACGTTCGTCTCGTAATCCATTTGAAAGCGGGTGGTTGATGAGTCTGGGGCCATGGCGCGGTGAGTGCGCGCACTCCACAGCCGCGAGACGCAGCAGCAGGTATGTGCGCGAGGAGGAGGAGAAAGCAGAGAAGGGTGGAGAAATCTGAGGATCGGACTACACGAGGTTCGGAGATCAACCTATGACACACCTACCTGGCATCCTCAATGACCAACTGTCGTGCGTCCCAGTGCATGTGATGATTGAACACATAAAGTGTGACTTCGTGATAAAAGATGAACTTTTGACATCACATCAGCTAAAACAAAACTTAACACTCAAGTCAAGTCTGAAATCAAGTTTGTTTCTTAGCCTATTACCCGAATAAAGCATTGCAAGCCAGGTCAGAAAATAAAAACAGCACTGATAGCTTAAGGAACATTTCTGACTACTTTTCTGAAGCCCGTAGTAAGCGTCGGCTACGTTAAAAAACAGGATCCTACGTTGCCCATAATGCAATTCAACAATATACAGCCTACCCTACGTTTCTCCTTACCGACATAGATGATATTTAAATTTCAAATGTAGATAAACTCTATGATGTCAATCAGGACGTATCATATGTTTTTCATACTGAGGGGAAACTTTTCTAAAGCCGAAAAATATTTAAAAATACAACATTAGAATAACTTAAAACTGTTCACAGGCTGAGCTGTTTACATTTATATGCTTTTGACATCAATGATATGACTTCAATAATTGTTTCTGGTTGTTTAAAAATGAAACAGGTTATTAAAGGAGCTTACAAAGCCAATCTCATGTATTAAACAATGTCTTGTACTACCTGATTATACTTTTAGATACTTTATACTTTCTTATTTAATCAATTGTAGTATTAAGTTTTTTGATGTAGAGCACGATTTAAAGAAACAACGCTGTAGAGATGGTTATTTATAGTCCTCAGTTTGACACCACCCTCAGTAATGTCTTCATATTAGATTTAAACTTGGCATTAGTCAGATCCAGTGAGAAGTCACTTCATACTGTGTGTGGTGTTATCAATGCTTCAGCTGGGATTGGATTCAGGATGTCAGGGCTTTTCTGGCTCAACTGGTGACTTCTAGTTGATTCATCTGGTTTCGGCAGGCAACATTTTAACTCAGATTACACACTCTGAGTCAACACTCATGATGGCAAGAGTAAATGACAGGAGTCACATGGAAAGGTTGTCTGAGAAATGACAGCACATGCAGCTGATGACTCATAACAAGCACCAACTGGTTTTTCTTCCATTGTGACAGTGCAGTTTATAATTCAGAGTCCAGTAAATGTATGAATTAATGTTATAATTGTACACATTTTAACTAAGTATTAGGCTGAGTTATTTAATTTTTCAAGAATATAAGATAACCACATGAACTAAATCTGGATGCCATTTCAAACATCCTGCTCATGAAACATCCTGTTGGCTGTCAAGAAACATTTTAGACACCAGGCAAGGTTTCCTCATCCTGCTGTCAACAGAAACCATGACTACTCAAGACAACCATAATTTGGTTGGTCGTTTAATTGATCATTTTTAGTGTTTATTTAATTTTCAGTTACTCTTTCCTGTGTAGCCCATTTTTTCTTCCTGATACATTGATTTATGTTGTGTGTAGAAAAGGAATGTTTGTGATGCCACTGCATACAATTCATCTTTTATATATACAGTGGGTACGGAAAGTATTCAGACCCCTTTACATTTTTCACTCTTTGTTTAATTGCAGCCATTTGCTAAAATCAAAGAAGTTCATTTTATTTCTCATTAATGTACACTCAGCACCCATCTTGACAGAAAAAAAACAGAAATGTAGAAATTTTTGCAAATTTATTAAAAAAGAAAAACTGAAATATCACATGGTCATAAGTATTCAGACCCTTTGCTCAGTATTGAGTAGAAGCACCCTTTTGAGCTAGTACAGCCATGAGTCTTCTTGGGAATGATGCAACAAGTTTTTCACACCTGGATTTGGGGATCCTCTGCCATTCTTCCTTGCAGATCCTCTCCAGTTCTGTCAGGTTGGATGTTGAACGTTGGTGGACAGCCATTTTCAGGTTTCTCCAGAGATGCTCAATTGGGTTTAGGTCAGGGCTCTGGCTGGGCCAGTCAAGAATGGTCACAGAGTTGTTCCGAAGCCACTCCTTTGTTATTTTAGCTGTGTGCTTAGGGTCATTGTCTTGTTGGAAGGTGAACCTTCGGCCCAGTCTGAGGTCCTGAGCACTCTGGAAGAGGTTTTCTTCCAGGATATCTCTGTACTTGGCCGCATTCATCTTTCCTTCAATTGCAACCAGTCGTCCTGTCCCTGCAGCTGAAAAACACCCCCATAGCATGATGCTGCCACCACCATGTTTCACTGTTGGGATTGTATTGGGCAGGTGATGAGCAGTGCCTGGTTTTCTCCACACATACCACTTAGAATTAAAGCCAAAAAGTTCAATCTTGGTCTCATCAGACCGGAGAATCTTCTTTCTCATAGTCTGGGAGTCCTTCATGTGTTTTTTTGGCAAACTCTATGCGGGCTTTCATATGTCTTGCACTGAGGAGAGGCTTCCGTCGGGCCACTCTGCCATAAAGCCCCGACTAGTGGAGGGCTGCAGTGATAGTTGACTTTGTGGAACTTTCTCCCATCTCCCTACTGCATCTCTGGAGCTCAGCCACAGTGATCTTTGGGTTCTTCTTTACCTCTCTCACCAAGGCTCTTCTCCCACGATTGCTCAGTTTGGCTGGACGGCCAGGTCTAGGAAGAGTTCTGGTCGTCCCAAACTTCTTCCATTTAAGGATTATGGAGGCCACTGTGCTCTTAGGAACCTTGAGTGCTGCAGAAATTCTTTTGTAACCTTGGCCAGATCTGTGCCTTGCCACAATTCTGTCTCTGAGCTCCTTGGGCAGTTCCTTCAACCTCATGATTCTCATTCGCTCTGACATGCACTGTGAGCTGTAAGGTCTTATATAGACAGGTGTGTGCCTTTCCTAATCAAGTCCAATCAGTTTAATTAAACACAGCTGGACTCCAATGAAGGAGCAGAACCATCTCAAGGAGGATCAGAAGAAATGGACAGCATGTGAGTTAAATATGAGTGTCACAGCAAAGGGTCTGAATACTTATGACCATGTGATATTTCAGTTTTTCTTTTTTAATAAATTTGCAAAAATGTCTACATTTCTGTTTTTTTTCTGTCAAGATGGGGTGCTGAGTGTACATTAATGAGAAATAAAATGAACTTTTTTGATTTTAGCAAATGGCTGCAATGAAACAAAGAGTGAAAAATGTAAAGGGGTCTGAATACTTTCAGTACCCACAGTAAAAACAACGGGACAATGCGAACACAAAATCAAGAACTTCAGGACGGCATGTAATATTTCAAAATTTTATTAACGAACATAATCTCTGAGGAACAACAGCAGTTCTCGCGCTCTCTGTACATGCAACTGTAGAAAATAACAATTTAGAATTTTTACTTTTCAGTTTTAGTCTTTTTTCCCATCCATCCTCATTTTCAGTTTCTCGTGTTTATTTTTTTGTCTTTCTTTTTTTTTTTGCAGGAAATCAACAACAGCTAGAGGTGAAAGTACTGGATTTCTGTTACAGCACTGACAATAGCATCAACGACCCCCCTCATAAATCCCCACCCTCCCCCTCCCCTCCTAGCTGCTCCAACAATATGTACACAAATAAACTACATTGTACAAATAAAAAAATGTTACATTGTTACATCATAATCACCTGCAGCAAGCGCACACAGCTCGTTTGCTGTTAGAACCCCACATTCTACGCAATTTTTCAGACTAGTACAAAGAGGAGGGTGCAAAACGTCCTGGGAGGTTTTATTTACAGAGCTATGTACAGTATGTCTCTTTCACGCATTACAAGGAGGAAAATTTACACAGCGGAGACCAATGTCAACTCAAAAACATACCACAGGTGTCAGAAAAACAAAACAAAAAGATAATAAATAGGTTATTTCTCACCATTTAAAGAGTAGTTCTCCATGCTTTGTATTAGTCATTTTCCACTCTAAAAAAGGAACAAAGAAATAGCTACAGTCTGGGTTTGAATTAAAAAAATATACAAATAACCAACGAAAACTAGAAAAAGGCTTGAAATCGTGATTCTATAGAATGAAAAAATAGCAATTATGTATATTTATGTCCAATAAGAAAAAACAACACATAACAAATCTAAAATAAACATTATGAATGAATGTGAGGAGAGTAGAGGTAATATGTTGCTGACTGAGGTGAGGCATCAGGCTAGCATCTGTATCACCACGGCCAAGTGCTCTACTGTGCATCTGAGGATTGCTGTGTGTTTTGTGTGTCTGTCTTCAATTGAACCAGAATTCACTGCTGTTTTGTTAGTAATTAAGATTCACACTGGAGAATCTATGCGGATGGATGCGTTTGTCTATTGCTCTGTGCAGCGGTGTACCGCAGTCTGGGGGGAGAAATCACCTGTCAGCTGTGTCGACCATCACCATTTCAAGCCTTTGTGGTTCAAAATAACTGATTTACCGTAAGTAAAAACAAAGGCAGGGATTAAACCGTTAAAAAAAGGATGACACATTAAACGGAAAAACACACACTTGTTGATGTCTTGTAAACAATAGTGAGAGGGTGTGGTTGGTCAGGGCATAGTAACGGTATACATTCTGCTTGAAAAGCAACGTGATTGACATGCCACTGGTGTTTATGCTCTATACAGGAAACAAATAACCCTAAAATGAACACAACAACATTCAAAAACTACACACTATGAGCTAAAAAAACACACGCAGGGATTCTGTTAACAAAAAAAACACCCTTAAAACCTCTTCCCAAAAACAAAACGGTGTAAGAAACCAACAACAAAATAAGAACATGACACACAGGGGGCTTAAAGAATACATTTGTGGGTATTTGTGTCTGTTTTTGTATACCAACCAGTATGTGTGTGTTTCTCAAAAATTTCCAGACCTTTACATCTAGCCACCTTGTCTGCACAGTGTAATAGCAACAACCATTGCACTTGACTAGACATACCATACACAGCTATGCTGACTGACAGTGTGTTCATAACTTAGAAATGTTCAGATTATATTGCCATCAGGATACATGAGCAGCTCTCGCACAAAGACAGGCAACCTTTGTGGGAGGTCAGGAAAAGCTTTTCAAATCCAAGACCCACTTAAAAAAGAGGATTGATAAAAGTAATCACAAATCAATATTAAGATGGGGTTTGAATTAAGGATGACTTAAAAAAAAAAAGATTGGTTCAGCATGAAGCTATTTCTTTCCCCTGTTTCTATTTCTGTCTTTTAAACTTTTTTGGTTCATTCTTAAAAAGGTTTAAGTCTCGTAATTGCCTACTTGGGCTCAACATAATGACATGATAGTGGCAAATAGCCAATGCCTAACAGAGTAAATAAGGAAGTAACCTAATGTTTAAAAATCACTGACAACACTAGCCAAACGCATGGATTAAAAGACGGAAGAGACAGGGGCTGGTGGTTTAAATCTTTGATGACTAAACTGACACAGGGGTTAAACTTGAATCAGATGAGGGAAATTATGTCCCCATAGACGTCATAAAATTTTAATTTATTTTAAAAAGCCCATTCTTGTGAAAGGTCACAGGTCTCAAACAAAGCCAATTAGGGTTCTGGAGTTGTTGGGACACTCTGGCGCCATCTAGTGTGTAGAATTGGAACGGCACATTGAAAACAAGTCGCTCTCCAACATTAGACAAAGGGCAGAAGGACTAAGTTAAAAGTCATCATGGAACGAAACTATTTAGTGGCTGTTACAAGTCTTCAGTCTAAAGAGAAAGCAGACGATCTGGGAGAACAGAAAACTTAATGAAGTGCTAAAGACCTGTGTCCTGTTGGCTTTCAGACAATGATGTTTTGTGATGATTGGAAATTATTAGTCCAAATTCTGGAGATTAAAAACTAAAACAAAAATCCCCAAAATATATTAATTGGAAACAATTCAAAATTATAATGATGGTTTTGCTTGTGAATGACATCTAACTTTCATCCCACCCATATATATCTATGTGACTTTGCCCAACAATGAGTACATTTTTTTTCACTGAAAAAGGCATTTTCTTGGTTGGAATTTTTTTTTTTTTAAAGATATAATCGTGTATTAAAGCAATGAATAATAATCCTCTGTCTATTCTTTAAATAAATCCTCAACAACTATTCTGCTACATCTGAGGGACTATATGTTGGTTGGCCTGTGGGAGGCCGGTTTAATCCAGAAGTGATCTGTGTCAGCTATTTGTGAGTCGTGATCCACGTCCAGGTGAGTTTCTTAACCCTGGAGAGGGTCTAGAGATGGGATCATACAACTGTACTGGAGCCTTTCAAATACTGACAGGATCGTGTACACATTTTGGCCCATGGATATGAGGGGGGGGGGGGGGGGAAAGTGCTGCCCAAAAGTGAACTGTACATAAAAAGATAATTTTTATTTCTTTTAGGTTTTTTTCTTTACACTTAACTGAGTGATATTACAGTACATAGGTTATTTACAACTGTGCAGTAATGTGTGGCAAAATAAATTATCTAGAAGGCAGCAAGAATACATTGGTTAACGAATATAAAAACTGTACATAATTTACGGAATACAACTTTTTTTCTTTTTTTTCTTTTTTCCATTAAACTAATATTGGCTCTGTAGTGTTTCAAGTCACTTCCTCAGAAACAATGAAATGCCCAAGTAAAGAAATAGACAAAAACAATATTTCTCTCCTCCCGCTGAACCACGATTTCTCGATAGTCTCTTGAATCTTAACATTCGTTATGTTTGTTTCTTCCTTCTGGTCGTCCTGTGGTGTTTTTGCAGTCCATGGCGGTCTGATGTGTTTTTATTGGAGAGAGCAGGATGGCTGAGGAACACTCCGGTCTGTCCTCAGAGATCCATGCCTGCTGTCTTCTGTTTAGCCAGGCTGAGAGGCTGCAGGGTCAGTCTCTTCCTCTCAGACACTTGGCCCTGATGTGCACACACACACATCCCTAACCCTCTGCTGTGTTCCAACCTGCTGCAGGCTCTGGTGCTCTACTGTTAAGCAAGTGTGAACAGAGAGGGTCTCCTCTGGGTGTACGGTCTTATCAACCCAAAGCCATCAGCGACTGGTCCAGGCTTCCTGGTCTGTCCGTCTGTAGATACACGTAGAGGATTCACATGATGCACCACAACTCAGTGGACTTCCTCTGGGTCAGTGCTGGACTAGTTCTCTTGGCCCGCCAGGAGCCTCGAGTCATCAGAGGAGGTTTCTCCTCAGTCCTCCCTCAGGACAGGCACCACGCTGATGGGATAGCTCTACTCTGAGACCTCCTCCCAGTGGTGGCGGTGGGTCTATTGAAGCCGGGACCAAAAAACAAACTCAGAAAATATATCTCTGTCCACCAACTGAGCACTGAGGAGTTCTGTCCCGATGTCAGAGCCTCAAAGCAAAAAACTTTTTCTGCTTCTCAAACTCTGATCAAACAAAAGAGTAAAAACTTTGAGAATGAAAGTGCAAGTTGTGTTTTCTTTTCCCCTGTAAAAACAACTTTCCTTCTTCATGGAAGGGAATCGAGAGCAAGTTTTTTCATTTTCACTCTTTTTCTATAGAATATAATTTTTTTCTGTCTTGTGTCCTCTGTCAAACTTGCTAGCCCTTTCCATTCGTTCTGTTTGACGAAGTCTCTTTGAGAAGAAATGATTCAGACGAAGATTTGTGTCCTTCTGTGAGCACAGGTGTGTCATGCAGGCAGCAGGACAAAGTCATCGTTGACATCGACCATTGGCACGTAAAAGGACGGCACTTCATTTACGCAGAGGGACTTGTGCCCTGCTGGGTCAAGCTCCTGGACCTTTAACTGCCACTCCATCCTTTGCACTGCGTTGAGAGCAGCTGCCTCATGTTGTTGCCGCATCAAAAGACATGTCTAAGGGGGAAGAAGCCAAGATTTTTTTTAACCATTTGTGCGTGAAAAGGATTGTGGTATTCATGCGTTAAGACATCAATACAAAAGGCAGAGAGGAGTTCTTTACCTTCATGCGGTCATATTTATCATCCACATCCTGGATCCAGGAAATGAACTGACGAGCATTAAAGCGATCTCTCACAGATTTATTCTCATCCCCCTGAAAATAAACCCAATTCATAATAAACATTAAGTAAAGAAACAGATTATTAATGTCTGGCTCTGTTAAAATAAAAGATCAACTCTACACTATGTTTCCTACCTGGCTCTCTGATGGCATGTTGTATACTTCAGAGTCCAACAGCATTGTGCAGGCGCTGAATGGCACAGCCTGATTGGCTATAGTCCTGGCCGCTCTGCAGTGAACCCTTAAAACCTCCTGCTCGCAGGAAACAATCAGCTTCTCCTGTGAACAGAAAGCAATAAAAGAGGTAAAAATTAATATCAGATATAAAAATGGAAGTCAGTAAACCTAGAGGCTTGTAGCTGAGGTTAATAGAAATTGGTCTTGATCAACAAAGCAGCTACACATGTTTCAAAGAAATGGTCCTCACTTAATAAGGTAGTAAGATGAAATAGATTTGTGTCTGCAATTCACTCAGGTTCAGCCCAGGAGTTGAGGGTATGCAGATTTCAGTTGAAATTCCATTAAGGACAAGCTTTGATCTTTCTTCAAAGAAGTGCTCATGGTATTAAGTGCATATACGTTCATGTATTAAAGCAGGGCCAGGGAGAGAGCTATGAGTGTATTAAGAGAATAAGATTGAATATTTCTTACCCGTTCTATGCTGTGCTGCAACCTGAGCTTCCCTCTCACTGCCTCCTGTTGTCTAAAGAGCTCTTTCAGAGGCTCTGACAGCGATGGAGGTGGGGCAATCTGATGAAAAAGTATTAGTTTTATATACATGCATTTACAAACAATGAGTCGATGTAAAAATGAGCCGAATATATTTCTACTGTGAGATAGAGTTAAATATATATCTTAAATGGTCATGGAAAAATTACTGCAATCAAATGTTAGACATGTTACTAGAATCAAATCTTTAATAAGTTTTAATTTAATAAAATATTCAACACATTGGCAAATATTGCTTGCTGTTGTGCTACCTGTGTTTTGTGAGGTTCTATGAACATTTACGTGTGTACCATCAACCTGTACTGTCTATTTTAAAGATATAAATAAATATTGGGGAGAAAAAAGATAAAGACACCATTACTCACAACAGGTATGTGAAGCTTGCTGAGCGGTTTGCCATCCAGCAGGTAGGAACCTGTGTAGGTCACATATTCAGCGTAACACTGTGGGGCCTGTGGGGTGATGTAGCACAAAATCTTCCTCTTCTCTTCGATCTTCTTCCTGATCTGCAGGTACTCGAAGTAAGGGTTGGATCGATCACTATGGTAGGGCTCGATATCATCCAGCTTGATAGCATTAACTACAACAGCCAAGGTTTGTTGAATCATTTCTCTGGTCTGCTGCATGGCTGTGTTTACCAGCTGGACCTGGACCTGCTGCCCAGCAGAACGTGGAAATTTCCTCTTCCGTGGGTGCTGAGTCTGTGATTCCTCGTCATCAATGGGGAGCGGGCGACCTTTTGTCGTCTTACTGATAACAACCGACGCAGACGTCGTCACAGCAGTAGGGACAGAGACTGCAGGGGTTGAATTAGTGGATGAGACACTAAGCACAGATTCTTTGTCTTTCTTTGGAGCTGAGAGGGACGAGGCCAAGGTGGGTGTCGGGGTTCTCGTGGGGAGAGGATTAATGCTCACTGCTGGACTGGTTGTTACAGGGGTAGCGGCGGAAGATGAGGTGATTATGCAGGAGGTAGGAGGGATTGCAGCAGCGGAGGGATTGTTCTTGGCGCGATTGCGGGTTATCCTTTGAGGAATTTCATCCACCTTCTTGGGGACGTCTATGGTCGGGGAAACCGTTGTCAGAGGTAACGGAGTTAGCTTTGATGTGGTCTCTTGAGTGTCAGTTAGTTCCACTGTGTTGGATAGGGTGACTGCGACAGGGAGCTGAGGAAGAGGACTGCATGACGCAGGCTCTGCTACAGGCTCTGACATCTCCTCTTGCCTGTCCTCTGACTTGTCGGCAGACACCGATTCCATGGTGAACGGCGAGGGCTCAGTTAGGGTCTGGATTTGTAACTGACAGTCATCTGATTTCATCGATGTATACAATATATTGGAATCCAGCTCCTCAGGTTCTCCATAAGGTCCTTTTCTTTCCAACATGCTGCCCTGTTGCTGCGTAAGACACAGGGAGGGGTTTACTGGCACGCTTTGAGGCTCAGGGTCCATCTCTTGCTGGAAGTTGGCATGTGGTGATGGTACCACTAAGTCTTGTCCAGTAGGTTCCTCTAAACCTAGATCTACAGCAGGGCATGAAGTTTTAGCCAAGTTTGGCAAGTCTACTTCAATTATATCTGACTCATCTCTTTCTGTGATCGTATGTCTAATGTGGGTTGTCACAGCCTTGTTGTGGTCAGCCAGCTCTTGGTCTCGAGGGTCAGCTTCTTCTGCCTTGTCTGGTAGTGGTAGGTCAGGCAAGGAGAACGGACCAAGGTCGTCCAATTCATCAGCATCAGCTGAGAATGAGTCCGCCCAGGGCACCACAGGCTCAGGAGCCTCAGGCGCCTCAGCTGGAGACATATGGCTCTCAGTGGTGGCACTGAAGTTATGCGCGGTCTGCCTGCTGTCTGGCTCCTCACAGGTCGACTCACTGTCAATTTGATGACTTTCCTCTATGCTGGGCTTGCAGTCTTGAAAGAACGACTCCAGCCTATTGGACGACGATGAGGTGTTCAAATAGTTGGGTTCCACATCAATTGCTGCATCAGGCCTCTCGGGAGAGGGGATGTCCGCCACAGCATCCTTCTGCTCATCATATTCCTCTGGGTCCTCCTTATGCCACCTATTCCAGGAGGCATAAGGGGAGGTAACATTTGGGTGGCCTGACAGCTGCTGCATGTCGCTCTCTGAGTGAGAGTACGGGCTTGTTATTTTGGAGACGGCTGCCTCTATCTCCCCGTACGTCCTATGGGGTGATTTAAGGTCCATTTCAGTGCTCCATCCCATGTTGTGATCATAACAGTTCTCTTCGTGGTTGGGTGCAGAATGTGCGGGGGAGAGCTGGTGAACCTCTGGATCCTGTGGGTCTGGGGACTCTGCAGGCCAGCTCTTCCTCAGAGGGTCCTCGACTTGAGGGGGGGAGAAGGAACATGGTTCCCTTGTTTGCTCTGGCTCCTCCACCGCACAGTGGTCACCATCATCTCTTTCATCTAAATCACCCATGACCCCCATGTCCCCCATGTCACGTTCTTCTTCCTCCTCCTCCTCCTCCTCCTCCTCCTCCTCGTCTTCTTCTTCTTCTTCTTCTTCATCATCTTCCTCTTCCTGCTCCTGCTCTTCCATGACAGAGGGAAGATCTGAGAGGACCAGGTTAGGCTCACTGTGGTGAGGCTCTGAGATGTCGTCAATGTCCAGGGGCGGCAGAGCTGCAGGAGCTGGAGTAGGTGGTGCAGCAATGTCGAAGCAGGGCTCCTGGGGCTCTGGCCTGTGCACCGGTGTAGAGGGTTTGGGCAAGTAACTGTTGTACACACTCTCAGGAAGGTGTTCATGACCTTCTGAGGGAGAGAGAGTTGTGGATGCCAAATCTGGACTGTGATGGGCCGGTTCCTGTTGTGGAGACAGCATTCTTATGGGAGAGAAATAAGGAGGTGATATACACTCGAGCCCATCCACTGTCGCTGATTTGTCCTCTACAGCTTGTGAGGAAGATGTCGGATCATATTCAGCAGCTGGATCACTCTGCTGTCGGAGGAACTTGTCAGCCTCAGCCTTGAACTCATCCTCTAAAGGCCTGCGGACATCAGAGGACACAGATCGGCTGACAAGTGGAAGCTGGAGGTTCTTTGCAGGGGTTGGGCAAGTGCCCTCCTGGAAACTCTGGGAGCTAGAGTACCTGCTGGGTTGACAACAAAAAGACAAGAACTTAGAAAAGTGTCACATTCAAAGACTGAAAAACATTTAAAACTTAACATTTGTGTCATTAAATACCTTTCAAAGAAGGATGGGGAGCAGGCATTCATTGACATAGTCATGGCTGATGAGTTCTGACAGTCCAGTCCATCCAGCATAATGTCGGGGTAATCCTCTGCACTACACGATGGAGTTCGTGGAGTCTGCATTACTTCCTCAAAGCTGGGGCAGGAGATGACTGACGTCGGTGTGGGAACACCAGTTGGCCTGTTTTGATCTGGCCTTGGAGAAGCTGGGAGGTTCTCCTTCGTTTGATGGCCAGCCAGCCAGTCCTTTGAGTTTTGACTCTCAGGGGCTGGAACTTCCTGCTAGGAGACATCATCTGTGCTGGCAGACCAACATCCTTCAACTTTTTCTCTTTAAGACTCGACTCCAGACTGTTGGATTTCTTTGATGACAGCTCACTCCGATTTTTACGCACTTCCTCAGTGGACTTGGTTTTGTCCTTGAGTTTGGGGTCCCCTGACTTGGGCCTCAGCTTCTCCATCTGCTTCATCCTCTCTTTATGTCTCTTGTGGCGCTCTTCAAACTCCTGGTCTTTAAGACTCAACATCTGACCGAAGCTTGTCATTTGATAATCTCCATCCACCAAAAGTTTTTCACGTGGACGGTTATCTTTCCGCATTGTGTCTTTGGACAGAGAGAGCTTTTCATTTTCATCCTTGACCTTGGACTTACTATGGTCCAATCTGTTGTCTTTGTCCAATGTGTCTCGATTTCTGTCCTTTTTCATTTCAAATTTAGGACTGTCTTCTTTTGTCCGGTCTTTAAGAATGGTGACCTGTGGGCTATCTTTCGACCCTGACTTCACATCCTCTTTAGAGTGTTTAAAAGATCCAAAGCCATCAATGTACTTATTCTTCTCCTCCTTTATTTTCTCCTTATGTTTCTCCTTTTTCTTTTTGTCCTTCATTCTATCACTAATGACACCAGAAGATTTCTCTTTATCTTTTTTGGACATCTCTTTTTCAAACTCCAATGTTTTATCAAAGTCGTCTTCACCGTCTCCCTTACCCCCATATGGGAATGTGTAAGGGTCTGCCTCTAGAGGCATGGGCTCCTTCTCGAAGGGGAGACTCTCTCTGCGGCTGTAGGACTCTCTAATCTCCTCCGTCTTGTCACGTTTGTCTCCTTTGTCCTTTTTGACTTTTTCTTTCTCCTTGTCGTGGCTTTTCTTAGATGAAGATGAAGATGAGTGTCGATGCCGCTCTTTCTCTCTGAATTTGTCCTGAGGTGTAGATAAGGACAGGGAGTCTCTTCTGTCCTCAGACACGTCGGTCAGGCTGATGGAGTCATAGTAAGAGGTGAGGACCGGCTCATGACCTCGGTCAGTGAAACTATCTGAAGAGATTTCACTGTTCTTGTCATTTGAGTCGTCCTTGTAGTCATTCATAGCTTCCTCCTCGAGTTTTTCCAACAGGGACTTTTCATTCTCACCACTCCCTTTTGAAGGTTTCCTTTCCTTTGAGTGGTCCAGCTTGTCTTTATATTTGCTCTTTGTCTTCTCCTCACTGGTGTCCTTTTGTCCAAGAGCTTCTGCTTGTTTTTCTTGTCCTGGTTTGAGTCCACTGACATTCTGTCCTTTCTTTCCTTGTGTTTGGCATCCGCGGAATCTTTCTTGTCTTTGTTGTGTTTCTCGAGGGAGCCTTTCCTCTCTTTACCCGTGTCAAATGTTGCCTTTTCCTTCTTTTTGTCTTTATGCTCTTTGTCTTTCACCCTTTCTGTGTTGTGTTTCGCTTCTGCTGAAGATTTTCTCACTTTTTCTGAAGGAAAGTGATCTGACTCATCCTGGTCAGGAGTCGCATCTTTTCTGATGGAGTCAGAGAGTGTTACAGCGCCATTGTAGCTGTCCTCATCGTCATCACTTTCATCAGTGAATATGTCAGCTATCTTGTACCACATTTTCTCTCTTTTCTCCGTTTTTCTTTCCTCCTTCTTCACCTCCAAGAAATCCTTGTCCCTATCAGCATGTTTGTCTTGAGAAGTCTTTTCTTTCTTGTCCTTGGTCTGTTCTGAGGACATCTTTCGATCTTTGTCCTTGCCATGAGACTCTTTGTGTTTGTCTTTTGCTCCCTCCTTCTTGTCTTTGGTGCCCCGATCGGCATCCTTTTCCTTGACAGTTTTTTCAGTGGAGGCTTTCTCGCTCTTATCCTTCTCCTGATCAGCGACTCTGTCTTTTGTTTTGTCTTTGTGCTTGTCAGCTTTCGTCTTTTCTCGCTTTTCTAATCCGTCACCCTTCTTTTCTTTCTCCTTTCCAGAATGGTTTCTTTCTCTGATATCACACGATTTACTGACAGCATCAATGTCTTTGAAGAAGGTATCATTGCCATATTCATCTCTTATAGATTCCTGCTTGATTTTCATGTCCTTTCTTTCTTTCATGAAATCATAGGAGTCTTTACGGTCTCGGCTTATGTCCAGAGAATCTTTGTCCTTTTTGTCTTTTACAGTTTCTGTTGACTCCTTCCGCTTCTTTTCTTTTTCAACTGAGTGACTTGAGTTCATTTTTTGTTTCTCTGACCAGTCTTTTTTCTTTTCATTCGTCTTTTCCGATGAGTCTTTTTCTTTCTTCTTAGACGTGGCTTCTTTATCTGTTCTCTTGTCATTGTGATCAGATTTCTTGTCCTTGACTTTGTTTTCTTTTCGCCTCGTCTCTTCCTTAACCGTCTCAACAATTAGCTTAACGGCATTGTTGGCTTTGTATTCCTTGTACTCTTTGACAGGAGCCTCCCAGCTCTCATCGCCGTAGAGGGAGGAGTCGGAGGACATCTCAGAGCCCCATCTGTCATGATGGTCATCTGAGGCACTCAGCTTTGTGTCCTCCAGGTTCAGGAAACGGTTGTTGACATCATAGCCTTCATACTCAGGCTCTTCCTTCGGTGCCTTGTCTTTTTTGCATTTCTCCTTCTCCTCCTTTGTGTTCTTCTCCTTGTCCACCTTTAGATGTTTTTCCTCTTTCTGCTCACTTTTGCGGTCTGCTTTTAAAGAGGATTTCTCCTTGGACTTTTTCTTTTTCTCTTCTTTGTGAGCCTTCTGTTTCTCCTCCTTTGGCTTCTCCTTCTCCTTTGCATTTCTATCCTTGTCAGATTTTACAGGCTTCTCTCGCTCCTCCTTAATCGTCTTGTCCTTGGTGGAGTCTTTTGCTTTCTTGTTTTTCTCCTCTTTCGCTGTTCGGTGCAAGTCTTTTCCAGATGACCAATCTTTATCCTCAGACTTGATTTTTGAAAGCCTATCCTCCTTTTTTGAATGGTCTTTTTCATGTTTGGATAACTTGACCTTGCTTTCAGCTGCAGATTCTGACTCAACAATTAGTGACTTCTGTCTTGAATCATCAAAATCAAAAGAATAGCTTTTGACAAATTTCTCATTCATGTCTTGATTAAGTACTAGACTGGGAGCTTTGTCCTTCTCTTTATTTTTGTGCTTGTGCTTTACTTTATGCTTTTTCAGCACTTTGCCATCTACATCAGTTTTAGAGATCGAACTGTCTGCATTGGAGTTTTTGTAGAGATCAGAATTTTTCTTGTCCACAGTGTTACTGTGCACGTTGTTATTCTTCTTTTTATTCTCCTGCGCTTTCCTCTTAACTTGTTTTACTGACTCTACACTGGAATCAGCAGAGGAGTAGTCGGACTCGCTGGATAGTCTCGTTCTGACTGAATCTGAAAGAGAACTGACATCCGACCACGTAGGCGACGACACAGTCTTCCAGCCATCTGTCCTCCACTGCTTTGGATGCTGTTCTGCTAATGATGGTACTTGTTTTTGAGAGTTCAAGTTGCCATGGGATGACGAGGAGGATGCATTAAAGCCAGGGGATTCCTTCAGGCTCGTTGCAGAAGAGTCCTTTAAGCTGTTAGAGCCCTTTTCATCCTCACTCTCCATATCTCCGCAATCAGAGTCCGATGTACAGAATTTGTCATTGACTTTGCCAAACCTCACTTCTTTACTGATGTTATTTTTACTCTCCTTCTTTCGCTTCTTTTTTACTTTACTTTTGTCTTTCTGTTGCTTTGAGCTCATGCTGCCAGAGTCTCTTGTCTTAGTATTTGTTGGCTGGGCTTGTTGCCTTGGCGTAGGTGCTGGCGTCCTATCATCCTCGTCTGAACTGTTGCTGTCAGAGATGATCCGCCTGACAGTTTTCTTTGGTGTGAGCGAGTTGCTTTTGGAATAAGTTTTGACCTCCATCTTGGGTATAGAGATGAAGCTGTTAGGCTTGCTGACCGGTTCCTTGCGGAAGTCTTTTTTCAACAGGTGTTTGTCGTCCACAGGAGGCACACGCTCCTCCTCATCATCCTCATCAAATTCATATTCATCTTTGACAGGTGTGACAGCGGACTTAGGAGGGTCTGTGTTTTTCCCTTTCGACTTCAGGCCCTTCTCAAACTCTGAGTCTGTGTTATTGCCTTCAACGGAGCTGGATGGGGCAAACGAGGGGGCGTCCTCCTCTTCTGAGGATTCTGTGAAAAGATAAAAGAGGCGCAATCAATATTTACCTTTTGACCTATACATCTCGTAACAATCGTTTAAGTAGGCTTCCTAAAGATTTAATATATATATACCTGATGAACTTTCTTCACTTGAGGTGTAAGTCCCTTTCCCCAGCAGTAGATTCAGCATAGTTGGAGAGTTGGCAACCTTTAATGGCGTTTCACCTCTCCTGTTGCTTTGCCTTGGGTCCCCTCCATACCGTAAAAGTAGCTTGACCACCTGAAACAAATTAAATATAAAACTGGATTCATTACAATTTATTAATCCAGACATATGAACATAATGTGCTAGTAATATGCCTAACAAATCCAAACCAAACAATAACCTTTATAACCTCAAGAACAATACATAACCTGTTCCACTCGAGCTGCTTTACAGACATGGATTTTTTTTCCTTTACCTTAAAATGTCCATTGTTGGATGCATCATGTAGAGGGGTGTCATCATCCAGACCCTTTGTGTTGACCTCTGCTCCGGCTGCCAGCAGCTGCTTGGCCACATCATAGTATCCCCTGTTGCACGCCTCATGCAATGCAGTCCAGCCTAAACACATAAGAGGATCAGCAGTGTAAGAGGTGTTTGCAACATGAGTGAAAATACTTCTTAAACAGTATATCTCTATATGCACAAAGTAATGGATAATCAATGAAAAGATCTTCTCACCTGCAAAGTCTTTTACATTCACATCAGCTCCCTCACTGATGAGCTCCTTGATGCGGCGTACCTCTCCACGGATTGCGGCTCGGTGCAGCCGAGTCTCTCCCCTCTCATTCCGTTTATTCACTTTGTCTTTGGTTTTAGATGCAGAGTTTGGCGTTCCCTTCTGACCCAGACTGGACTGTGACTGATGCTTTGGTGTTGTGTCTGTAGGTGAGATGGAGATTTCACTATCAACATTTGTTGAAGTGCTTACAGCCACAAGAGGGCAGTCTTACTCCAACAACAAACCCCAATGTGGTTGGACCTACTCCACTTGAGTTTATTTCATCACATTTACAAGATTAAACTCAAGACTTAATCACATTCAGATTATTGAGTTTGTGCTGCTATTGTCTGAAATGATATTTGAAACACATTCACTTAATCCAAGTCCATGCCTTCAGGCATGCAACAAAGGAATTAGTGTATTATTAAAAGTTCTTATGTACTGCTCCTCTGCAACCTTATTCCAACTCAAATGTCAACAAAATGAGAAATAGAACAATGTAAGAGCAATAATAGGTTGTTCAATTTACAGCCACACTTTGCACACCAAACATAAAGGTACAATTAAAGAGGGAAATGGAGGAAGTAAGCGTAAGTAATAACTGAATAGGTGATAAACCTTAACTTAAGGCATGCAGGCCTTTTGCATAAGAATGCCTGTTCTGATTTGGCTCAGATACATAGATTGAAGCATTACTTCCAGAATGACGCAATACCTACAGGATAGGTTGTTTAATTTTCTTTGCAGTCACATGATGTATTCAAGAAGATAAACTCCAATGCTGTAGGTCAACAAAAATGTGACTTCTACTGCTGCCAAGACAATAATAACTTTCTAACTGGCAGTATTGATAAATGCAGCTGTAAAGGGAATAAATGTGGATAAGCTGGTTCAACTAGATTTAAATTAAACAATGGGTTTATTTCAAAGGCAGAGTTTGAGTAAGATGTGCAAAACACTTCAACCAATGACTTAACCTCAGGAAGATAAACAATAACAATCAGCCTCATGTCTTTACTTCTCTGCAAGTAAGCCCACCTCCCACACACAGTCTACATAAAAAGCTCTATCCCATCCCTCTTCCCTTGAATGCCGCCAATCCACACAGAACGTGGCCTCCATGATAAGCACGCACCTGGACTGTTGATGGACTCCTCAGCTGTCATTTGCATGAGCAAGGCCACCTGCTGCCGCTCAGAGAGGGGGTACCCAGCCCGGATCCCTGGCATCCCCATTCCAAACGGCAAGCCCGCCTTCCGGGTGTTGGTGGGCTCTTTTTTAATGCGCTTTCTCTCTGGACCTGGTTTCTCTGTAAGGAAAGTTAGAAGAAGGGGGCAGAGTTTATCATATTACCTTGCAGGGACAAACAGCATGTTCTCAACTATACCTTCATTCACGCAAACAAATCTTATTTACATTTGGTTAAGAGTCGATAAAATTCACTTTACATTTTCTGTTACATCAGTCTATATAGTTCTCATAAAACTCTCATTCAAACCAAGAGCCTCATCTTTATTTCCCAAAACAAAGCTCTTTCACTCTGTTTACTATTTTAAAAAGTGTGTTAAACAGTATTATTAACATTTTTTTGATACTTTGGTCAAATAATATAATAACAAAAGCATTTTATAAGTGGAGCCCGTATTGCTGTCTGTTTGTATTGTCAAATGACAGCTAAGCATTGTTAAAATTTCAAAGTAACAAAAAAAAATAATGTTCTCATTAAAATACATAGCCTCTGGGTTAAGAGTTTGTGTTACAAAAAGGGAGCCTTTGATCATACCATAAATCAAAATAAACCTCCCAAAAAACCCCCCAAAAAACGCTTGCTCACATCCTACATATTGTGCATGTATGTGGGAGATGTTGTGGTGGTGGTGGTGGTGGGGGTGTCTGACTTTTGTGTTATTAACCAGCTGCCCCAGAGGACAGAAGTCTGTTTATGTCAGTCTGTCTCCAGGCCAATCAGTCTGAATGGAGTAGAGAGGGGAAAGAGGGTGTGACTTGGCAAAACCACAGTTATTAGAAAATAGTTGGTTTACATTTCAGTTCAACATGGCCTTGCCAAGGTCACCACATGCCTGCCTGCCTGCCTGCCTGCCTGCCTGCCAGGCTTACTGTAGACCCAGGGCTACTGGACGAAGCAGCTGCTCCACAGAGACACACCCAGCAATTATTTTCAGTGGCAACATACCATCTGATGACCCTTACGAAGGGAAAAGCTACTGTAACACTTCATCACTGAGGGGGAACAACTGCCAAAGCCCACAGCTAGAAAACACTAGCAACAACACTGGCTACTAGCAGAGAGAGAAATGGAAAAGCACATTCTATTATGCGTGTACAGAGAGCACAGCAGATGAAATTGTGTTTGAGCCTGATTTCTTTGGGACTTCTCTCATTCCAAGACTGGCTGCATTGTTGAAGGCCGCAAAAAATGAAGATAAATAAGGGAAAGAAGGAAAAATGCCGGCTTATGCTTCCATTCCAAAATGTTTCCAGGAAAAGCTTTTTCCAGTCACAAGAACAGAGCTGATTAACTTTCACTAACATCTGTGAACACTTACAGCTAATGTTCCTCCACCCCTCTTTGATACACTCTCACGTTCTCCAAAGCAATTGCCATTTAGACACATTCCTTCTGCTGGGACTTTAACAGTAGGAACCACAGACACAGTCCAAACATGTTTTCTGAGCAGCAGAACAGAAAAAGTGCTACGCCAGCTTTTCCACGCTACGTTTACAAGATTGGGAACCAGGACGGTGGTTATAACATTAATGCACACATGCAGAGGGCTGCTGCTTAACAAAGGCCAAAGTCTCTGAAACAAGATTCAACAGTGGCAGCAACCCGCTTATTTCTGACATGTACAGGATGACACAAATCAAAATGCAGACCTGGTACTTGAAGCATGTGAGATTTGAGGTTTGCAAATTTCAAGCCACATCAGCTAGACAAAAATGACAAATAAACAGGACACAATCCTCTGTATTCCTATAATTATTTACCACATAGTTAATCATTAATACACACATGTAGATTGCTGAGCAGCATAAATGAACAAAGAATTTAACATAATATGCTGGTATCTATAGAATATCATGTCAATTAAAGGAACAATGCTCAGGCTTTTAGGTGTCTCAGTAAAATTATTAAAGTCAGCGTACAGACAGGTTTGAAACCTTACAGTCCTTACCTCTTTAAACTCTGCTAACAACACAAGAGAATATAAAGAATAAAACGAGTAAGCAGGCAAGCTAGCTAGGCACGGTCATCCATGAATAGACTCTGTAGCTGAGCCAGGGGAGGGGACCACATCAAACATAAATGCCTTCTTATAATAGAGGCAGAGTTCTGATATGGCAGGCACACAATACTACAGTGTCAGCTAACGCCAAGACAAAGAGACTGTCTGGTTCAGTTAGCCAACAGACTCCAACAAGACAAACCACTCCAACCAGCCTGACCAGGTACGTCTGACCGGAGCGGGTTGGAGCACAGCAATGCTCTGCTCAGGGACTAATACAAGTTGCATAAACAGGAAGTGAAGGAAGAAGAGGTAGGAAGTGGCCAACAGGATGTTTTGTCAGAGCTTTGTATTGCGCAGGAGAAACTCATAAATATACAGTGTGAACACTGTGGGGTGTGCCCTGTCTGTTCTCTCTGTCTAACTTGTACATTTGTTCGTTGTTTTTAACAGGTCTGCAGTGAGGGCATGGCTTCTGCTTACGGGTTTCACTCAGAGACAGAAAGACAGATATCTCTGTGTTATAACCTGGCAAGAGGAAAAGATGGGCTTAAGATATTTTTAAAAACATGGTCTTCCTTTGCAACTCGCTTCACACAGCCAAACTCACACCTTACTTCTGCTCCACACACCTGAGCCAATGGCAAAGGCATTGCTGCCAAAACAATCAAACATTTTCTCAACCAGAAGCATTAGTTTAAAAATACAATTCCAGATTGTAAAGTATGGCTTTCTATTTATGTGTGATTACACGTTATGAGTCTTTATATGAGGGTGTGAAGAGTGCAAATTTGGTTAGGGTTTAGAATGCGATGATATAGTACATGGAAGGTGTTTATCATACTGCAGTCCAACGTCTACCTCTGTACTCTTTAATAGAGGGGTACAACACACAAAATAAAACATGTTTGAAAATGTAACAGCACAATCAAAGTTTTCTTAATAATCTTTTTTCACTGATCGAATTACCGTAAATAATCCATTTAATCACCCAAATTGAATTGTAGCATAATTGCATTTGTTACTAACTTGGCATTGTTTACAGACCTGCAGTGCGAGGCTACCCAGGGGAAGCGCTCACATTCATATACATTTTGGCTCAAACCTGGATCAACATTTCTGTATAATTTTATGTTATTTCATGTGCTTAAAGTAATTGGACAGAAAACTCAGTTCAACAATATTTTCCAACAATTTGGCTTTTTTTTTTTTTTTTGCCCGTTTAGCTTGACTGAGTAGACCAGCATGCTACATCAGATAGACAACTACTGGTTCAGGCGAAAACCATCCCCAGATTTTTTAAATAGCTTGTTCCACCACAAACCAAAATCCAAAATTACACTGGAGATTTCTTTGGTTAAACTGAAACTAGTTGCATATTCTTAAATTTATGGATAGAAGTTTTAAGGGATACATTTGACACATCAAGTAGTCAGGGCAGTGTAAGTAAACTACAACTGAATTGTTTGATTCAATGTCTCAAACACAATGTTTCACAGTAATCTGCTTTAACATAAAGGATGAAGGAAACAAGCCATGTTTCGTAATGCCTTGGAAGATTTTTCAATTTAATTTTTGGCTTACTAAAACGAGGGGTACAGCTGGATGAAAATATTTGGTTGCTTTCTTAAGCATTTGCTGTTTCACTGGCGATAGAGTTTTTCTTTTTACAGAAAGAAATGTAAAAGGAAGGATGACCTCAGGAAGGAAAATTGCTTCAATTGATTGATTTTTTCCCCGATCTAAGGTCCACAATATCAGCTATTCTACATATTTTCTGATTTTTACATTTACACACACTTCTTTACAGAGTCAAGGCCTAATTCCACAGTGGATGGGTCAGTAGCTTTCCGGTTGTGATGCAACCTGTGAAGCTCAGCGTTGCACTCTGGTTAATACTTGTTATCCCACCAGATTTGCTGCAGTGCGTTTTAGAAGCATCCCAGAAGCAGCTCTACACTCTGCTTCACTAAAATAACACTGCTAGTTATTTTTGATTGAGCTGCTGTCTTCTAGATGTGCCAGGGTAAAATCCCAACTTTGAACATGCCTGATTATTTAACCAGTATTTTCAAGAAATAATCAGCCATACAAACACTAGCTTGACAAACAACACTTGATTATCCAAGCTTTTATGTCGTTCTCCCTCATGACAAAACTTTTGAATACCAATAGTTTAGCCAGCAGTTGTCTGCTCAAACCAAAAAGGAATGGAGACATAGTAGTGGGTAGGGCTGAGAATGCTAATGTGGGCTGGGATGTGTCAGAGGTGTAAAATTTAGCAGAGGGACTACACTGTCCCAGCAGGGTCAGAACGTAAAAGGCCAGCCAACAACGTGGGACAACAAAGCACATATGCCGAAACAACTCAATAAACAGTTGAGAAAAGTATGCAGTAACATGAGCCCTGAATGTCAATTCAAAAACATACTATGACTTGGTTGAAATATTGATACAGCAATATATTATCATCCTGACTGCTGTGATAGAATTATCTAATTGCTGGAAATTGTGAAAATGATATTCTATTTAAAAAACTGCTCTAAAGAGATTTCCCTGGTAGTTTGAATCATGACACAATCACTTTGCGACTCCTCAGGGTCACATTTAAGCCATGAATGAGGGTCAGGTAAATTAATTGGCCATGGGAAAAGTTGACAAGGGGATAAAAGAAGCATAAGAAGAAAGCGGGAGAATGTCAGACAGCAGTAAAAAATAAATCAAACCATCAACAAAAAAATAGGTGAAACTTGCATCAAATTGAAGTTAAACCCACTTTTCATGACCTTAACCTTTTTAGGGGAATTTCATATTCTTCATAATCTGATTTTTACTATGTATTATGAAATGATTGTCTTGCAATACATCAGCTATTGCATAATCACTGTAATGTGACATATTTATCATATTGAGCCACTTACTGGTAATGTGTATCGTATTGCGAGTTACATACAGAGCCAACACATTTCTCAAACCATTATGAAACTTTTAAGTTATCAAGCACCAAGTCAAAATAATTCAAATAATTGTAGTCTTATTAAGTATATCATCACAGACAGATGGCATCAGGATTGTATAAACTATGATTATGTAATTGTTATTCTGTAATCCTCAATGGTTCTACATCTGTAATGACATAACTTTAAGTCTCTCCTACAAACAGAAAAGTGACATGAAAGTTAAGAGTCAAGGGCTAAAAACCATGTAGCTCAACTCAACAACAGAGCAAGTTATTAGCATAATAAAGACAGAGTCCAGCTATTCTTCCTGGGAGTGGTGAGAGTTCACACCTTTCCTTACTGAGGGGGGCAGGGGTTGAGAAGCCACAAGAAGCTAGGAACAAACACAAGCCAAGAGGTTAGAGCGCGAAGCTGAGAAAAATTAGACCACAGATACCAATTTGATTACATATGTCATGCTGTCCCATATCTGACAGGAATTGGATGTTTAATTTTGAAACTACTGGCTAAAAAGAGTCATTTATGGAACCCTGTCACCATTGACTCCTTTAACCTTGTTTTGAGAACTCCAGCACAAATACATTTTGCAGCATACGTCCAGGCAAGAAATGGCTCACACACTACAGCGACTCCAGAAAACAAATAAAAGACAAACGTGAGAGCATCTCAATCAAACATTTAACTCATAGTTACTCTCTGCTACACAGTAATTACACACAATCCCAACACTACAAAATATATGTCCAATCTTACTAAACATGCCCTCAAACCACAAAAGTCATCTGCTGCAACATGCACAATCCAGTCTGGTTTAAATTGAACATAAAGCAATCTAGCATCTCAGTCAGCGCTGAGGCTGAAATCAAAGCCTGAGTCAGAGCATTATCAACAAAGTAAATCAGGACCCCTTAAAGCTCAAGTTAAACAAGCATGAGTAGTAGTCTTTCCTCCCTAATTAAAGAAAACACACAGCAGGAGCCTTACCAAAGCCAGACCTGTTCAGGTCTGTATGTTACACAAATCCTCATTCAGATCATGATTTCTTTTGGTCCTCCTCTCCTTTCAATCTGGGATTGTAATAAATAACTCCTTGGTTCTGCTACGGACTAACAGCTAAATTGAAACTAGTACTTGGAGCTCATTCACTACACAGAAGCCCCACCCATTTTACAAGGCACACCTTTCTACTTCCTGCAAGTGTCAGAGGATGTGATGTAGCAGCTCCTATTCCTCTTTGGTTCCCACTTCACAGGTATAATGAGGGGGAGAAGTCAACACATTGAGTAAATGAATCCCATTAGCCTTTTACCTGAGTCAGAATCTTTCTGGTCTCCATTAGCTCCAGTAGTGAAGGGCAGCTTCCTTTTAGAAGCCTTTTCTTTCATCTCTTTGAGCCCATCACTGCGATCCAATTTGGGAGTCTTGTTTGACAACACTTTATCCTATAAAAGAAACAAAACACATCATGAAGAAAAATTGAAGTTACATGGTTAAGTTCTATAAAAAGTTGCTCAAAAGTGACATGGTCCATGAAAGACTTTGAGCTTTCCAATCACCCACAGCCTCCTCCTGTAATTTGTGCCTAGCCCTGACTCTTTTTAAGCTAATGTAAGCTTTGCAAAGTAAAACTTTTCCATGGAGTTTCCTCCTAGATTCTTGGCTCCCCAGCTACATTATAAAGGAGCCAGGAGCAGGGAGAAAAGGCTAAGCTGACGCCGTTTAGGCTCTGTGGCATACAGCTGCTGGAAACAATCACAAGTCCTAGTGTGTATGCTATCAACAGATGTAAATATTGAAGTGTGTGTTTAACTTGTTCTTGGTTGTCTGATATCTGATAGTGACTTGCTTATCTTGACAAATAGCTTTACAAAAGTAAGAGCAGAAAAGACGAGTCATCTGGAGTAATCTTCAAAACATTTTTCTAAGGTTGCAACATCATATTGTAATAAATTAAATACATAAATCAGAGCTCAGATATCTTCAAATTGTTGTGTCTGACAATCTATCAAAAAGGAAAAATGATTTTTTTTAACAGTTTTATTGGAAAGAGACATGTTTACTAAGAAGCTTTCTCTATCTTGTTTACAGCCAGGAGTTTCCATGAATGGGAGATTGAGGAACAAAAGACTCAGACCAAAACAAAAACAAACCAACAGAAACAGATTTACCAAAAATGGAAGAGAACTACACAATATTCAAGAAAATGTTCAAAGGAAAGCTTTAACGCAGCCATACTTTCTTGATTCAAAGCTATTCACACCAATCATATTTAAAACGTTTTATCAAAACAGTCACTTACAGCAATATTTTTCCCATACATTTCAAAATATCTGATGACCTTTTCACATAGTGGGCAGGATTTCATAATGGAGATACAGGAGCAGGTTATGTGTAATATAAACATGCTCACTTTTTTCTCTTCATTTTTCTGCCCTGCCTTCTGTCCCCTTCTCATCTCTATCCTCAGGGCAGGTTTTCCATTATGTGTCGACTCTCTCAACTCCTCCCCCAGCCCTGCCCCAGTCATAGGACTATGATGTCATGGTACAGTAGAGACAAACAGTGTCGGCTACATTTAGCTGATCTCTCTCTCTCTCTTCCTTTCTCTCGGTGTCTGAGTATTTGCTCAGCTACACAAAAGCTTTACAAGAGATCACATCATTACTGTAGTTGAAAAGCATGACCCCCACATCTGGGCAATGCAAAAACTATAGTGCATCTAAGTGATGAAATTCAATGTAAGAAAATGATTTCTCAGAACTATATTATAATATGCACATCTATATCATATTGTTAGAATATGGCCACATCACCACATATTTTCTCCAGATTTAGACCAAGTTGTTACTTGTTTAAAGTTGTTAAAAGAAAGCTTTGACAGCTCAACATTTTCCTTAGATCTGCCTCCATAAGACACGCTGTTTGATGGTCTCCTAGCAATGCCTGCTCTTTTCGTATCTCTCCGTTTTCCACCCACCCCTGTGCACTTCATTCCCTCCCTCCCTTCCTCCATGCCAGAGTCTGATGCAATCCTTTGCAGAGGGCTGTAAATCCATGCCTGCATAAGCTGTACCTCTCCTCTCCCTGCCTCTTGGTGCTGCTGCTGCTGGTAGTTTTAACAGTTGGCACACACTGTGACATCATCAAGCTGCGCCCAAAACTTTGTTCCAATGCAAAACAACATGACTATGCCTGTGTAATATTAAATAACAACCTCACACCCTGCATTTCATTACTGTTTATTGCTTATCATACCAACAAAATGACTGTGTATGTGGTTGTGCAATTCAGTTTTCTTTTGCCTGTATTTCAAGGGCATAAAGGCTGCATTAGTCAGTTATGCAATACAGTTGTGTAATTCTGTAATTCTTCATTACAGCAGCCCCTGGTTAACTTTGGACATAGTTGTAACAGCTGTAATTATTCTTTTTATTACAAATACAAATTACAAAACAACTCCCCCTGGAAATGTAGACCCCCAAACACTGTAATTCTTGTATTCTGGTGTATTTTTGTGGACAGTTTTGGCAAAAAGCAGACTCCTAAGGCAAGACATGACATATAAAAAACCACTCAGAAGTGGCAGACAAAGCGACAGTCCACAATACAAATCTAGAATGAAAATGTGTGCCTTTTTATCTATGCATCTATGCTATGTTTACATCTACAGAAGGAAATACATGTGTAGATGATATGTGTATCTACACATAGCATAGATGCAGCCGTTTAATTAAGTGCACAGAGATCGTAGTGGTCTCTGCAATATTCTCTGTGCACTGAATCCAGTCATATTATACAAATGTAACTCCCCCCTCCCATTGGCCTGGGGTGAATTCTCCAGATAATATCCTGCTGCGTTCTCAAATCAGCTCACTCGGACTTGCTGAAGAAAAATACTAAGGGGGGCTGCCAGGAGAAACTCTGGGTGAAGTCTGAGTGAAAAATGTGGCTATTTGCGTTAACAGATACAGCTCCGACTGGAAATATCAGGAGTATTCTGCAAGTGTGAAAGCCCTGTAAGTCTCTCTTTCTGCCTAAGTGTGAATGTGGTAATAACGAGTTTTAGTTTGTTGACGCGAATTTCCAGGTACATTGGATTAATTACAAAACAGTGTTGCCACCATATCAGAGTGCTGTCAGAATTGCAGTTAGATATGACATTTTCACCTGTGTTCTCAATGAAAATACCCGTCAAACATATGAAATCAATTCAACTTTTTTAAAAATGTGATAATAGACAGTATCTGGTCAGACTGCGGGATCAACAGAAACTGAAATTAAGAGGACACTGAGGGGCTTGGGTGGGTGATACTTTGTGCAGAAGAGAAACATTCCCATGTCTTCTACTTGAAGGATAATCTTTCTCTCATACTAAAAAAACATGTTGCTGTTTATTTTTGCTAACACCCCCTTACTGCCTGTAAGGCCTGTAACTGTTTTATAATTGCTGATGAGATGTAGAGGTTTATAAACAGGTTTTAAGGACTACCATCAATTGAAACTGGGATTATGTACTGTACACAAACATTGTGTGATTGGGCGCAGTGTCTGTTTGTAGTTTTTTTTTTCCAGTCTTACCTTCTTCCCACCCTGCTTTTCCACCATGTCAGTGTTGAGTGGGAAGTGGTCCAGCTGGGGGGTTTTAGAACCCCCACCTTTGGGCATCGTTCAGCTCTCCCCACGCCAAGCTTCATTCACGCTGCCATTGCATCGTCATCAACCGTCTGGAACAAAGGGAAAGGAGAAAAAGAGATGAGGGGGGGTAGTTAGCAACTGGCCACTAGGTTTCTTTGAAAACACATTTACACACAGCCAGACAATACAGCCATTAGCGGTACATCAAGCACTCTATTTTCTACCATCACACCCCTACTCTGGAGGGGGAGGAAGAACCGAGACGGAGGACAGAAGGCTGGGTTGCAGCTATAGCAGGCAAAATGGCTTATTCATCCTACAGGCTGAACCTAAAGAGCAGACGAGGTCTGTCCAAATACCTCAAAACATTCTGGGTGATCTCAGCCAAGAAAAACAACAGTCCTTCAAAACAACAGACTCATACATTCAACCATCAACCAAAACAGTAACTTTCTGGAGTTAGGGAATGACACAACAAAACCATGTGAGATATTGCATAACCCCAATTGTGGGATACCGAGAGTGCTGGGAACAGCTGAGGAATTTTTTCAGGAATGTGACTAGCATGTCTAAACAAAAACTTAAACAGCTACATAACAGTACCACCATAGTCAGCTTGTTATTGTTGCTCTGTCTACCACAGTCAGTTGACTGTAGTGTGAGGAGTTTTTAAGTAGTTATTGAACACACTGAAATTAACTGAAGATTTTATATGACCATAAAAAGTTAAACCAGGCAATAAGAAGGGCTACTGACTACACCACATGGCTATTTTTTATGCTCTTCACCAGGTCAGGGTTTGACAGAGCACTTTGCCAAAAGAGCCATTGTTTACATTTGACATAAGGAGAGAGGATGATATTTTCTTTGGATAATATCCTACAAGCATGTACAGTACAACCCCAGCAAACAGATGAGAAATGCAGTTTTTTTCACCAGGTTTGCTGAAATCTAAACAGAATGAAAGTTCGTCACAGTTGCTTTAAGAATACAATTATGGACACATAAAATATTTGTTTACAAATCAAAGTGCTTTGGGTGAACAATGTTTTACAACTTATATGCCAGAGCAACACAACATTGCATCCCTGTCCATTGCCTTCCTTTGTGAAGAGAGGCCTTCTGCTTCAAAGGCCATGAATTAATCATACATGCTCTCTTATTCTCTCCTCTTTAATTCACTTTTTCTTATGAGTACATCCAAGTATGATCATCACTGTGACTGACTGACTGTCTGACTGGACAGATGAAACCTTAGCTGCATTTTTTTTTCTCAGCTCAGAGACACTGGCACTCCTATCTTCCTGGCACTCCTATCTTCTCTGGCGCCACTTCCATCCACCCTTCCCCCCCCACCCTCCTTCCCTCTGCAGTCATCCTATTCAAAGACAGCTATTTATATCCCTCCAGTCAAGTCAGTCAAGTCAAGACAGCCAGCCAACCAGAGCAGCATACAGCTACAGAGGATGTACTGCTCCACTTTTACTGCTCTATGGAAAGAGACACAGCAAACTATGGGCCTTTTCTTCTCTCCTATGGCTCATTGTTACCTATTGCTAGGTGCCAGCTTCTACCTCCCCTAAACTCCAACCACACCAAACAAAGTGGCAGGAAGGTGGACTACTCTGAGAAATAAACAAATCTTGCAGCAACACAAACACACATATGCACACACCTCAAACTAGGTCATCTGGGCAATAATCTCTGCAATATTTTCAGACTACTATGACAGGGGGTTATAGCAACATAGCATTTCACTGACATATGAGATACAGGAAAATTATGTTTGCAAACAAACAGTCACACGAAGACACACATAAGCCGTTTTCACATATGCACTCCGGATAATATCTAGATATTTACAGGAGGACTTCTCCGGAGATTCTCCCGACCTAGCCGTTCACATATGCTCCTCACAGCGGGGGACTTTCCCTGTCAGAAGGGATAGGGCCGCGGGGAATTTCCCGACGTAAGACGTGACGTAAATAAACAACGTGGAAGAAGCGGCCTTAGCAACAGAGTCCTCTACACGACGTTATAATGAGAATATTTGCCTTTATATCAATGCTATGTGTAGTCCATTGGAATGACAACATCCACAAAAGATTGGAGAACAACATACTGACGAACAGAAAACATAATGCAGCCGTTTAATTACGTGCACGGAGATCGTAGTGGTCGCGTGCAGACACTTTAAACAGTCACTGTATATAAACGTCACTCGGGTCCCATTGGCTCCGGGAAAAGTCTGCGCAAAAAATGTGGCTGTTTGCCTTCACACATAGCCTAAAGAACTTCCTGGTAGCCAAATCTCCAGAGTTTTTCAGGAGATTTCCGTATGTGTGAAAAGGGTTATAGTCAGAGAGTTGAAGCTCTGTTAAAACCACAGGCCTTATTTCCTTAGTAATTACAAGCCAACCTTAAATACATAACATCTGCTAACAGTGTGAGCCTGTTTTAATCAGTGTAGTGTTGCTGCCACTAAACAATTGAATTGTACTGTATATGTTTTTTTGTTTTTGTCGGCTTTTTACATGTGTTTATAATTCTATATTTGTTTTCTAACTGGATATTCCTGCAATTGCCCGACACCTGAGTACGTAGGCTGGCTGTGCATGGGAAACCATGTTGGTTGTTCATTTTTAAATCCATTTGTAGGTACATTATGAAGTCAGAATTTTAAGCATATTTTGATGAAAATAACACCCAGTATCAGGACTGTTTTTCTAAAATAAAAAAAATTATATCAAATCCTCTGTAATGAAGCCACTGAGTCTGATCATGAGTTTGACTGTCAAGGTCATAAAGCCAAAGCTTTGTACATCCAGATGTTAACCCCTATAAATCAGTGTGCAGTGAAGTTTACATTAAACAGCAAAAGCCTTAAAAAAAGACTTTCATTCTTGGGTTGCACTAAAGCAGGAGCAGAGTGGACACTATGCTTTGAATTACTAATAGCAAGTCAGGCTACAATAACATCTTTTGTAATATTAAACAACAACAAAACTATTGCTATTAGCTTTTTGCTAATACTGAAAACAATAGTTGTCAGATTTCAACAGTGTCTCAAGATACAAATGTCATTATTTTATCATGTTGGTGCATTAATTCATATTCATCTTCTAAACCAAGTTGCAAACTTCACATTGCTAGCTTGGCAACAGCTGCAAAAGCTATTTCCAGGCATGTACTTGCTAGGCTTTGTTTACATGTGCATATGCAGTACATACAAATGTATGTGAAAGGTGATAGAGCGTTATGTAACACAAAGCAGTGGTGGATGATCTAAACTAGCATCCTGTTTCTTAGCAGATATCACGTGAAAAGAAGACAACAGAAACCTTCTGAGACTGTACAGAGAAGTTTTACTCTAAAATATGTCAATAACTGTTTCAAGTTATTTTTTTTTTTAATTACAAAACATAAACACATTTCTAACCCCAACGTGTATCTGGTAACCTAGGGAAATACCATTTTCAGAGGGACAAACATTGGTTTATTATTCATTCTGGGCAGTCCGGTTCAGTATAGTAGCATCATATTGACTAACCTATGACAAAGGAGCAGCAATATAGGGTTTTAATGTTTATCACTTGAGGTCAGCCAAGTTAGACTTGGACATGGAGATGATGACTGCAGAAAAAAATGGTGACTCAGAGAAGCAATCTCTTCCAAATGAAGGACAGGACCTGCAGTACCGGCATCCATCTCTACTCAATCACCCTTACATAGACACACATACGAACACACTCACACACCTTTCTTGCTATGCCCCTTATTCATTTCTCTCTTCATCCTCAAGCATCCTCTCTATCCTGTGAGCCACTCCCTCTGCGGTCAGATAGAGGCCAGCTCTTCAGCATATTGCAGCAGACTGTTCGCACACTCACAGATGCACTGACACACACCACAAGCACACTTACATCAGGATGGTATAGTATCAGCTTAATGAAATGGAACACAGAACATTATGTATGCCTTTAGTAAATGTTAGGGCATTCAGAAACCTACAGGCTGAAATCTGATTCACATGATGACAAATCACTGTCATACAAACGAAGCACTAGCTCTAACACTGTTAACTGATGAAATACTTTTTTTGTTAAGTCCATGTAAAAGGCCATAAATATGTTTAAAACTAGCAATACATAATAGTGCATGAAGCTGTGGTTCCAATCCCTTTAAAGCATTAGGAGAACTAGTGTCATGTCTGATAGATAGTTCAACATCAAGGTTGCATTAAAAAAAGTTACTGCATATTATGAAATCTTTGCTTGAGTGTTTAATAACATCTACATGCATGTGCATGCGCAATTTAAAAAGTACTAGGTTTAAAGAATAAAATGCTCTATACAGGTATGCTTTAGAAAAAAATGTAAACAATATTAAACCTTACCAATATATTTCTACAGTCCCTTTTTTGCATTGCAAGCCGTTCTGAAACAAAAATCATTCCTGACTGCATTCTACATGTGGAAAAGACGAATGTGAGAACATACAAACACGTACACACACACACATCTGAGGAAAGTAAACGTGCAGGTGCAAAGATGAAAAGCAGTTGTTGTGCTCCAACACCATACCACTCCTAACTCATGACTCTCATTGTACACACAGTAACACACCTTTTTTTTTTTTTCCACAACAGCAGCTAAACAACACTGCAGCTGCATACAGGGATGGGCATGTTGCTCTCTGTCTGTGCTCATGTTAGTAGAGTTTGTGTGTATACTGTAGCTTGTGCACTGTGCACGAAACCCACTGCTTATTGCACAATCAGACCCTTGATCAGCAGCACACACGCTGGCAAACCGTCAAGTGCTATCTCCCTCTATCATACAGATATGCCAGAGCTTACACACAGCAAAATAAATGGTGAAATAAAATGCACACAGGTTGGAGTATCCTCATACCAGAGGTGTTTTTACATCACATAAGGCAAGTTAAGTTTAATACATTACAGGGGCAAGATTTAACTCCCTGAGAAAGATATCACATGCTGCTGCAGCAACACAGGCATAATGAATCAG